CGATAATTAACGCATCTACAGTAATTTGGTACACATTTGGTAGTCATCAAGACGATTATCTGCAAAGACTGAGGGACTTCTTATTGTAGAATGTCATCGTATACGAATTAACTAACCTCGTAAAACGAACGAAGGATGAATCGACCGTCAGAATGACCGCATCCCTGATCTCGAACTTACTATCGGACTTCTTATTGCCATACCATAGCTTCATATTCTGCCCATCACCGATAATTTGGAACTATTGGTGGATCTGAATATTTAAAACGATACTATAACCAAACATCACAAAGATGTAGTTGTTTAACTGGAATTCTTGAACAGGAAATTGCCAGGAGAGCTACTGCAAATTTGGTCTTGATGTACCGGGTACAATATATCATTCGATATTGACAGATCAGGCAGTTACAATAAACCAGATATCCTGATAATTAACAAATAAAAAGCAGAGATAGTAGAAATTGCAGACCCGAAGGACGGAAAAACAAACTCTACCTCAACTTAGTGTACATAGCAAATGACAGGACATGTTGATGATTTGAAAGAAATCTAAGACAAAGAGTTGCCTAAAAATATATTAAACTTATTCTAAGAACCTAGTTAGTTTCATCTTTTATCACCTAACCTTATGTCATAAATTCAAACATAAAGTTAATAAAGAAAAGTTTAAAGCAAAATGTAAAAAAATCAATGCACACTAAACGAAATGAATTAAGTTATATATTATTTTCAAACTTAAATAATTACAATAACAACACCCAAACAAAACTTAATAAATAACAAATTTCTCAAGTCTAAACTTTTAATTGCATACTATATTATCACAGACAGTCTGGCGATGCCGAGAGCCAGCAAAAAAAACCTTTAAATTAGAAAGTTCAATGAAAAAGTTAATTTTATTACGAGCCATTTCATTTTCACAATAGATCAATAATTAAATGTTAATTCCAACAAAGTATTCGCTCATTCATTAAACTAAGTTTTATTGTAGTATTCATTTTTTGACGTTCAGTTTGATTAAAAATGCTCATGATATTGAACTAACACACTTCATAAAAAAATTATTAATGGCTGATTTCCATCGCAGATGACTTTAATCCGAGGTACGCCTCATAAGGCGAAAAGTAATTAAGATTTTCAATTTTGATTGAACTAATCCAAAATTCGTCTCGTTAATGAATCCTTGTAAATTAATGTATTAATGAAAATATGTATTTAGTAGTCATAATTGGTCCTATTAATTATTTTAATGAATTATACGTCTTATCTAAGGTTAACATTAACGGGATTTAGAAAAAAGTATAATTTTATTGATTATAAATTAATTGTATTCTTACCTACACATAACAAAGATATAGCATAAACATTTTATGATGCTTGTCTGTCCAAGTGATCTATTATAATTATAAAACATATATAAGTATATAACATATATAACATAACNATATATATATATTCTGTAATGTGTTTAATGTAAAATATATCGATCCAGGTCCGCTTCTTCGCGCTGTCCTTCGAAAGTTGAAAAATGTAATTCATAGGATTACGGTCGAATAGAAGTACATATTATTAATTATCCTTTTTATAAATTTATTTTTTAATAACATAATAATATTTTTAAACAGGTTTCAGATTGTAAAGAGATGTAAAAGTCTTTCCTTTGAAAATGACAAATCTAATTTTTGCTTAATTAAAGGTAATTCAAATACCACATATTTGCCATAGATAAGTAGACTAGTTCTGATTTTTGTATTTTGTTCATTAGTATAATATACGTAATTTTATAATTAGTAATTTTTTGTTGTTTTTATCTCGATCACTTTAGAGTTTGGTATTCAATTAAAAACATATTGATTACATTTTTTTAGGACGGTTCAACTTATAAGGAGACGACTGGGTTCGTGGTTCACGGATTTGAACCAAATTTTTGGTGACTTCGATAACCCCTGTAAGGGATTGAAACTGGGAAAATGCGGATAATTCCCAAAAATGATCTAGTTTTGACATCCGAAATAAAAAATGGAGGGTCTCATTTTACAATGTTACAAAGGGCATATTTTATTTTAACAAACAATGAACAAAAAAATTCATTTCAGAAAAGGATGAAACAGCTAAAAATTAGACTTCATAACGAAAATTACAAGAAAGAAAGGTTTATCAAAATCGGTCTTAAATTAGTTAGGGTAAGTGGACTTATTTCGTGGGACACCCTGAATAAGGTCAACCACATTTTATATCAAACATCAACTCATTTTTACTGTCGATAAGACATAACTGTCATTTTTGTTTTGACTGAAAACATGCACAAAATCTAAATTAAAAAAAAATCAAATCTTGGTATTGTTCATCCTCCATTTTTGAGATTTTATACCGTTTCATTATACAACCTTTACTGCTATTTTGAGATTATTTTCAAACTGAAAATAACTGATATTATAGAAAGAATTACAATACATTTCACTTTTTATCGTTTATTTTTTTATATATAATATCACTTCAATGTATAGGCGTATTAAGATTGTTTTCCCCCGATGATGACCTTAAAATCGGTCGAAGCTTGTAACAGTCATTCACAATGTTTGGACTGGCAATGTTCAAAGAAATTTGGAATCTTCTTCTAAAAACATAATTATGCCAATTTGTAAACATATTTAAAGATTCTTTTGCCCTAACGATGTCCTTAAAATCCAAAACTTAGTATTAACAATTGAATTTTCTTTCTTCACCAAGACCATACTGTGATCCAAATTTGTGAGTAAAAAAGTGATCGATACATTTAAAACTTAAAACAGGAAAATAATATAATAATAATATAAAACTTCCCTTATTGCCGCATTAAAAAAATAGTTTTGCAATTCAATTTTTGGTTAACTTTAAATTTTTTTTTCTTGATGAGATCACATCCTAGGGCTTTCCTTGAGTTTATGTATGATTGAATTGGAAAAATGAAAAAAAATCCCAAAATTGAGTGCATTTTTCATTTATCACCTGCGTTTCTTGTACAAAACACTAAAAAGCCAAAATAATGAACTGCTAGTTTAGGCTCAGATGTAGTACACTACGAGCTTCTTCATGAAGCCTATTTTCAGTACCTACGATACAACCATGAAAGAAATAGAGAAGTTACAACCAGGGGAAGATAAACAATAGTCGAATTCACCGGATTCTGTAATACATATCGTGGGATACATTGGACCATGGGACCTTAGCATTGGAATGACACTGCAATTCGTTTATTCATAGTTAATACATAAAATGGCCATTTAGAGGTTTAGAGAGTGGAATAATTAAAGAGCTGTAGCATAAAACACATTTGTCAAGAAAAAGATAAAGGATTTACCTAACCGGAAAGCCTTTAGCAATTCAGATTAGTGTGATTGGACACTAGTAGTAAATAAATTAAAGAATTTAATTTAAGAAATGGTTCTTGTTTCACTGTCGGTAAACGATGGAAGGAAATAGCTTTTGGAACAGGGTGTGGCCATTAATGCCGTAGGAACCCATTCCCACTTCCATTATCCAAACCTTAAAAAATTGAAAGGTCCCAAGGCCGGGAATCGATGGCAATTAACTAAGTACTCGTATTTATTGATGGAAGCTCGGAGCTGGAACCCATTAGTGAAATATTAAAGTCTTCCCAATCGGGGAGGACTTGAGAAATGTAATTAGTTGGATACTGGCGGGGCCAGGAAAGTGGGAGAGAGATTACATCTCGAATTAGGAAGCCCGCCCCCGCCCCCGCTCCGTCTTTGCCAAGCTCGGCTTTTGTCAAACCCCCGGCCCCGGGGTACGACCGTCACACGTTATGGATATCCTTTTAACCTCCATAATTTCATCCATGCAGACCCCGACTTTGTTTATTTCCCCTACACCTTTTTCCCATTCTTCTGAAAGGCTCAATTCTCAACAACGTTAATGGAAATACATCGCTTTTGGTCCGGTCAATCTCGCCGTTCCCCCAACGTAAAATAACTGAGTAAATTATATTGTCTTTTCAAAACAACAATAAAATACAATCAATACACAAATAGGAGACTTCTAAATTATATATANTATATATATATCTTGCTATCAACTCGAACTCCGTATAGGAGTACGCCATTTGGCGTCTACCAGAAGGGATGACAATTTTCAATTTTTTTCTTTTTCCAATTTTCTGTTTAATTATATTGATAACGCTAATAGAGTCAGAATTCATTTATTACAGCAAATTGGATATATACATTTTTCAGATATACACTTTACATTTCGCTATCATACTTCCTTTCATTCCCAATGATAACTGGCATCCATTATATAGGATTGTCGTTTGCTGTCAATATTGACAACTATTGGCGTCCTGTTTTTCGGCCTTTGGTTCTTTGAGATTTCGATTCATCCGGGACAAAAATAACTCAAGAAAACTTCCTGCAAGCGGCGTTCGGAAACATGGAAAAGCAGTAGAAGGGGTTTCCTGGTAAAGAAGTAAACTCGGACGCTCAATCCACTGAAACGTGAACGATTAAAACATACGCCGTAGTAAAATCGGACGGTGGACCCACTGAGAAATGAATGACTAAAACGGTCTTGAAAATATACGAATACTACCTTAATTTTCTTGAACTATTAATATTCAAATATTGGCACAAAGCGCAATGTGGACGTCCACTCGAAAATTGGTACACGTGTTGGTCTGATGATGATGTGCTGAAAGCACTGGCCCGGTGAATCGGCGTCCATATACGGACGCTGTTTTGCCCTGGACGCCGGACATGACTTACAAATGAGTCAAAGTGAGAAAGAAAACTACCTGCCAAAAATTAAGAAGAAGAAACATCTGCCTTTCGTGCAGAAAATATTACTTATGTTTTGAACAGACACATACCACTGAAGAAGGCGAGAGCTGAAATGCGTCTGACAAGCAGAAGCAGAGGAGACATTTTTAACCATCTTACCAATTCGATTTATTTAGTTTAAAATATTTAATTTTAAATGTTTGATCCATTATCTTTGTACATTAGGTTACAGGTACAACAAGAAGTCACCAGAAGACGAGTGTAAATCATTGAGTGTAAATCATTCTACAACAGGAAGGGTTCTTCTGCGCTTCAGAGGAACAGGGCTACACACTAGAAGGCCAGGACAGGGTCGATTCATCCGTCATCAGGCTCTACAAAACCACAGCATTACGGTAAATTAAGCAAATTTGATAAGACAAGTCCGAAATGTTTCTATTTCCTCCAGGACTATAAGAAGACAGCCCAATGAAAATAACTTCATAGTCCAGCACATAGTTCGGGGACCTCTTCTTACCACAGATCAGAAAATGACGAGGCTTCATTTCACATGGGAACATAATTTTTTTCTTTACTCAATAATTTTTCTTTTACAATTAAGTAATAAACATTTTAGTTTTAAATGTCTTATTTTTACAACCAAATCTATTTTTAGTGTGCAAAATACGAATAAAACTAAATACATTAAAATATAAGGGTGGTGGTTACTTTTGCCCACCCACGTAGTATATTATGTATTTTGCAGCATTGTTTAAATTAAAATTAATCCTTTTTTATCTAAGTGCTTGGTTGTGAAAAAGTTAGTGTGACGAGCAGGATTCTTCTTACCCTTGGTCTTCAGCTCACGAACTCCTCACGATAGCGTGGTTAGAGCAGCGGCGTATTGAGCTGAAAGTCGTGGGTTCGAATCCCGCTCGTGACACTTTCATTTCAGCCAAGACCTTAGATAAAAAGAATAATTAACTGAAATAATTAATATAAGCAATTATGATCGTAAAACATATATGGTTTAGTATATTAAAATTAAACATTAGCCATCCCTAACCATCGTGAATAATCATCTACAAACGCAAATATTTGTATTCTGTATAATTGTATATACAACTCCTGCTAATTTACATTCAAGATATACGAAATGTAAAAATAAAACAGGACTGAGCAGAAAAATTGATAATAATATAAAAAAAATTTCTTACAAATTTAAAAAATATTTAACTTTTGAAGTTGGAAAGATTCTCCTAATTACAAAATATTGCCTGAGCAGTCAGTTTAACTGGACATTTTATGTATTTAGAGTATGTATAATGATAGTAAATTCAAACCACAGATTATTTTATTTTCTACTGGTTTTTCAGTTAGTGTCTGAAAAACAAGGGAATAAAGCGTTAATAAATTGATATAATTAATTGAACAATGACTGAAAAAAAAAACCAGCTAGAACAAACATTTCAATTTCACTGTCACAACACAATTGGAAAAAAAGGCTATACAGAATACCGTTGATACAAAAAAAAAATTCTCTGTATACACCTCTGGATCGAGCTTCCACCCTCGGCTGAATTGTTTACATTACGGATCTGGCCAAGTCGCTGCTGGTTCTTTTATCCGATTGAAAAATCCATTGTGCATCTCGCCTGCATTTCGTCCTGGATGGTCGAGAACAAAGGCGCGACGTCCCAGAGCACGCTTAAAATCAGAATTAACTCCAAATCGGATTATACCCCCGGCCGACAACCCCTATACGATTATTCTTGCGTCGACTCACAACAAAAAGTTTCTATGGGGTTGGGAGAAAATCGGATCAATTTCCAGGTTTTAATTCCCGAATCCGTCCGGTTCGCACCGGTTAAAATTTACCATTGGAAATAACTAGGGCGCAAATGTGTATTTTCAAAATTGCTAGAAAAATAATTCAAATACTGATAAACCCACTGAATGCCAATCTCTGCAAATAGTATTGTTTCAGATGTTTCACCATTTTAAATCAAATTTCTACTAACCTTAATTTTTTTATACAAAAATCGAGATATTCAAACATCAATGGTTAATAATAAAGACTTGTAAATTTTATTTATTATACTTTTTTCTGTTTGGTGTAGTCGAACAATTCAATTAATTCTTGATTGATTGATTTCAATTCTTTTTTAGGTCAGACGCGTTATTTCACGTACATTTTTACTTTTTCACAATCGGATTTAATTTAGAGATAATTCAGCTTAATATGAAGTTATTCAGTTATGTTTCCAAACTAAATTAATTTACTTCTTTACTGTTCCATTCTAACATATATTCTAATTTCAAATAATTGTAAGGTTTTTCATGGATCATACCTTAAGGATAGAAATCGAAAACGTTTGGAATTGACCAAACTGTAAAATTTCCGGTGCTTACAACATGTTTCCAGTTAAAAAGCATATATCTATTTAAAGTAATATTTGTAAATATGATTTCCTATAAAGGTTGGTTGTTTCCGATTATTCTGGTCCGCTAATCTTCGCTCTTTTGATCTATCTTCTTCGTGAAAGGTGAATGAGAAAACTTCGAAAGGCATCAGACAGATTTGGTGTACATGGTATTCATTTAATGGCGTAACGACTATTTTTAGACGAACAACTTTTTTTTAAATGTTTTTGTTTGACCCCAATTGTGATCGATGAATGATGACACAATGATTTTAATTTTTATACTTTTTTATTTTGTTAATAGAATATCAAATATCCGTTTCAATATCAAATTCCAAAGTTTTACTGTTGCTCCGTTTTCAAAAAATTCTATTTTTCAAAGAAAGGCCAGAAAGTTGTCAACGTTTTGGCATCATTTTATTTATTTATTCCACGGAAAAAAATCACAATTACAAATACAAATATTTTACAAGAAATATTTAATCCATTATATTTAGTCGTCCATTGACCAAATTACTTCTTCCAATTAATCTTTTTTATGTAAGGTTTTGGTTGAAATGAAAAAGCTAGTGTCACGAGCAGGATCGAACCCACGACCTTCGGCTCAATACGCCGCTTTTCTAACCACTTGAGCTATCGTGACTTCGATCCACTCTGACACCAACTCCTCAACTCAACCTACAACTTTTGTGACCTGAAAAAGGAAGTTATTAGCCAACTTTCAAATTGTTTCTCAAAATCAAATTTTCAGTTGTTTTTCCTACATTAGAATTTTTTATTAGAATGTTAAAACATTTAAGATATGAACGTTTCTTCCCTGCAAAAATTGATTTTTTTTTTCTTATATAGGCCGAGGTACGATGATATGTTTTTCAAGAATACTAAAAATATTTTATATTATTACCAATTACTTATAACTTAAAAAAATCTTTAAACCCAAATTTACTTTAAATATTTTCGTATTTTTTAAAGATTGTTATTATGTGTGGTGATTTGTGACCGTTAATCGATATTAATTTAGAAATCGTGAGATGCGGTCTGGTGTGATGTAGGCTTCAGAAAAACATTTTCTTTATCGTGCCAATGTTTCGATCTTTATTGAGATCATCTTCAGGGCCTGGGATTTACAAACATTGTTTACATATAACAATTACATTTTGGATGTGGAAAAGTGAATTTATACATCCTTCCCCACCCCTTCAAAATCCAATGTATATAAACATAAAACAGCAATATTTCACTGGCACTCTCAACACGACACGCAAGAATGGCACACTTACGCAGAAAACAAACACTTTGAATGAGTAGAAATACTTTGATTGAATATAACAAATATTTTTTTACATTGTAAAAATTCACTTTTTTCCACATCCTACATGTATTTGTTAAATTTAAAGAATGTTTGTAAATCCCATGCTCTGAAGATGATCTCAACAAAGATCGAAATGGTGGCACGATAAAAAAAATGTTTTTCCGAAACCTACATCACACCAGACCGCATCTCACGATTTCTGAATAATCATTACTACCAATTACCTATATTTAAAAAAATCATTAAACAGAAATTTATGTTAAACATTTTCGTAAGTTTTTAAAGATTCTTATTATGTTTATGTAAGGTTTTGGTTGAAATGAAAAAGCTAGTGTCACGAACGGGATTTGCACCCACGACCTTTGGCTCAATACGCCGCTATTCTAACCACTTGAGCTATTGTGACTTCGATCCACTCGGACACCAATTCCCCATCTCAACCTACTATTCGAATATGCCATTCCTTTTTACCTTTTTTCAAATGTCGTGTAATCTGTTTGATTCCCGGCGACAAATCACGAAGGTTGTGGGTTCGACTCATGTTCGTGACACTAGCTTTTTAATTTCAACCAATACCTTACATAATTGTTTGGTGACATTGTTTGGTCAATCGGACCACGAAATATAACATGATTGTTATTATGTTTTCATTATGAAAGATTAAATCGCCACGTTAAAAGAGCCTACCAGTTTTTCAATATGCACTAATGTGGTAATTTTATATCAAACTTGATTAAACGTTTATAATTAGATTTTTTTTTTCTTTTAGCATGACCTCCTGCGGCCAGATGTTGAGATAGGCCCGGCCGTGTCAATTATGACGTCGAGATGACAGCTGAGGGGGTGTGAACAGGCCGACTGCGTCCATCTGTTTCAGCAGCCCACCCAAGGAAACCAGCAATACACTTCAGACTTAAACTATTTCCCAAATCGCATAGCATTTCGCTCTGTATTAATTTATCAATGTGTCAGATAAATAAATATGCTCACGCCGCTTCGTGAATGTTCTTTGATGAAAAATTTCACACATGAAGGACGGATCAAATACGTTTGATTGTACATACATTATTGCAATCTTTTTTGGATACATATTTTATATTTCTATCAGTAATTTAAAATTACATGTAATTAGAGGATACGAATACATGTACAAATATTTTTATACCAAGTTGATTTGATACGAGGGAGCAAACGTGATATTCCCATTACACTTCACTTCGCTCGTTTATAGCGGTTCCCCAGAAAGGAATAGTCATTTCCGCTTGGGACACTTTATAGGATTTTTGAGATGGGATCTGTCGAACAAGGCTTGAGATTGGACTTGGATGATGGGGGATTTGTTTTGGAACTTGATACTTATTGAGGAATTAATTTTTTTGATATTGGAAAGATTAAAACGAGCTTTTGTGATAGGTCTAAGCACACAATGTAACGATCGTAGTCTGATTTTAGTATAGGAAAATTGTTGTAGTAGATTGTGCGATTGGCTTCTGCACGAAAAAGTGACATGGTCTCATTTGCTTTCACTAATCTTAAAAGCAGTAAATAGTAAAGTAATCCATGTATGCAAGAGGCCTTACGTCCAACTACCCGTTGGGACGAAGGGGTCAAGCTACTTTTCAGTAATTTCTCCATATCGTCCACGATAAAAAATGCCTGAATCGTGGAAATACGATTTGACGCTCTATCCACTCCACCACCGATCCTCGTTTATCTCAATTTTTCCATTATCTAAAACCGTACAAAAACATTAGGATCATGGTTAAAAAATAGTACTGCAGTCATCGCCAATGAATACAGTAGAGTGATAGGTTTAGTTGAGATATCTACGTTATCAAAAATATAGAGGTCCAAGCACACTGCCCTGAGATACTCCCGCTTCTAAAGAGCGACAGACAGAGTAATCTGATCCATGTCGGACCCAAAAGAACCGCTCCGACTGTTAAGAGCGAAGAATTAAGTAGAGGGTATTGGAAAGAACAGAATTTCTTCAGAAGATCCCTGTGACACAGGTGGTCAAATGCTTGTACCACAGTAAAAAGGCTCCAATACAATATACTTTGAAGTAACTAATGCGGTCTACAACGTGAAAAACTCGCTGAACTGGTATGTTTAGAACGAAAAACTAACCTAGATGAAGGAAATTTAAGTTCCATAATGAGTGTCATTGCGGTAACATTCTTTTAAGAAGATTAATTCGAACAAAATGAGAAATAAACTATTTGGACGATGTGATTAGGCTTTCCAGAGAAAAATCATGAAGATTTTTTCCTGGGTTCGAATATTTCCTGGGTTTAAAGTTGTGTGAAGAATATAATAGCTTTTTGAGAAAGCTGGAGAATTTTGGATCTAATTAGATCAAAACCAGTAGCATTGCGCTTTGGTAAGCGAGACAAGGTGTATTTGACTTAAGCAGGGAACAAACTTACCCGATTCAACGTGACCCGAAGCCACCCGACGCAAATCCAAAGTCCATTTTTCCATAAGATTGCATACCCCCGTGCACATCTGCCCGATGCTATGCTACGCTACCCTACTCTACGCTCTGCGATCCCCACTGTCCAGATTTTCGTCGGGTAGCATCGAGTACAGTCAAAGACAGAAGAACCGGACACTCCGTTATATTAATCACAACATACTTATTTTTATATAAACCAAATTACCTGAGATCAAAAATTCATTAGTTTTTATTAAAAAAATTAATTTTAAACGGTTTGGTAGACAATTGATCAAAACACCGGAATAACATTTTTTTGATAGAATGAATTTAACTAGCAATTTATTACATGGATTTGCTCATAAAATTTAACTAAAATTTATTACACGATTTTGCTCATAAAAATTTAACTAACAATTTATTTCGTGGATTTGCTCATAAAATTACACCATTTTCGTCGAGTAGCGTCAGAAGCAGCAACCCATATTTTCTGTAATTTATTTCGACCTACATTATGTCCTTTTGTCATTATATTAATTACAACATGCTTATTTTAATGTAAACGAAATTAAACGAGATCAAAACTTCATGAGTTTTTATAGTAATTATTTAATTATGATGGTTAGTCAGAAAATTTATCGAAACACCGGAATAACTTTATCTAAAGCAATTAAATTGAACTAACAATGTATTACATGATTGTGCTCATAAAATTTAACTAACAATTTATTACAGTTTTGCTCAAAATAGTACATTAAGAAGAAAGAGGCGTCGCGATTGTGATACTGATTATTGTGATACACGCTAGGTGACTTACGTGGCGTGCGATTGACGTCGCATAGATGTGCACCCCCACCAAAACGTGGTAAGGCGTCGGGTAGCATCGGGTATCGTCGCATACCGTTGTATCGGGCAAATGTGTTCCCGCTTTAAGCGGGCGTGATGGCTTTCGGAGGCAAAATTTAATGTAAATTAATTTTTAAAAATATCTATGATACATTATTTAGACTTGAAATAAAAAGTTATTAATCCATTTGTCAGCATTAATATATATAATTCTGGAATTTAGATTTTAATGTCTAAACTTGTATTACTTCTCAACGCTTTTTTTTTTAAATTAATCCATAAAAACGGTCGAAACACCGTTATCGTTGTTTATTTTACATTTCTTCTCATACGTTTTATATTATTTAACCAATGATTGAACATCGATCCAAATCCGATTTGCAAAGTCGGCGTACGTGAACTATTAGCAGGTACAGCCGTGCGAAAACTATATTGGCGTCGACACCGAATTTTCCAATTCATCGGCCGATCCGGCTTTCTACGAGGGCGATACATCAAATTTTATCAGATCGAGAATATCGACCCTTCAACCCTTCTGGCGATTTATTCATCACCCCACTAGGTGATACCGAGTTATACTCCTGGCTGGTTTCACTTTTTATTCTCATTTTCAATCAAAATTCCAAGGTGGTTGACAGAAACAAGGCCAATTTCTAATAGCGAATTAGAATGTCGCGGCCTGAGTGTAGCAATTGCCTGCGATCATCACACGAGTTAAATCTTATCTAAAGTAAGTTCCATTGTTTGGCTTTATTGTTACTTTGAATACAGAAAAATTGAAAGATTAATTTCGATAATCCGCTAGTAAACAAGAATATAGATATCCTAAGATGTGTTAATAAAGAATAAGATGTCGTTGGCAGCAACGGTTAGGCGTTGTCACGGCGCTCATCACCGTAAGGTAAAGGTCCCGGGTTCGAATCCAGCGGCCTGCATTCTAACCCGACATACTTACAAATAGGATTTTTCCAAAAACACCGGCACCTTGAAGGTTGATATAACTTCTCCTGTTGCGAACCTTCGTAAAAAAAATAATTTAAAAAAAGGTGTTAAGAAATAAATAATAAACCTTCAGTTTAATATTGTAGAGAAGAAGGACACAGAAAGGTGTGATAAATGACCAAACAATCTATCAAAATCAACTAAAATCCCGCCCTATCTGTGAGGGAATTGACCATAAAGAGAGGAACATTAAATTTTATTCAAGGTTACGCGTCGTTCTAAAGAAACGGAAATTTACAAATTTATCTGGAATCATTCAAGATTCTACAACTAATTTCAGTTTTTTGTATTATGGGCGGCCAGGTAGGTAGGATTTAGAAACGTCGGTAGTTGACCCATTCGGTTACGGCACCCGGAACGAATGTGTACAAAATCTATTCGTTTTTTCTTGTCACAGAAACAATCTGTTCATAGTACAACTAATTCTTCAAGAAGTGAAGTGGAAAGAAATTGACCTGGATTGCTCCCAACCGACAGACTAAAAATTAAATAGATTTCATCCTTACCACGAACAAATTCTTATAAAACTATAGAGCAGGGGTCGGCAACCTGCGGCCCTTTGCAACTTTTTGCGCGGCCCGCCAAAGCCCAATATAATTTTAGGAAAAATCAACAAACTTAGAGCATGAGCGTGCCGAAATGTGGCCGGTGACAAAAATGCACGCTAACAGAAGCATAGTGGGAAACCTATTTTACCCTAAATTAAAAGAAAATTCTTCACATTTTGAGTATTTTTCACTAGCACTTGATGAAAGCAACGATATAACTAGCACCGCTCAATTGTTGATTTTTATCCGTGGAATTGATAAATAATTTTGTGTAACAGAAGAACTTGCTGCATTAAAAAGCCTCCATAGGAATACAAGAGGTGAAGATATATTTTTGCAACTATTAGATGTTTTCAATATGTACGATCTCAAATGGGAAAAATTAAAAAATGTGGCAACTTACGGTGCAAAGAACATGACGGGTCACAATACTGGTTTGGTAGGCATGAATAATAAAAAATTGAAAGAATTAAATATTACACAGCCTCCTCTACAACTTCAATTGTATTATCCATCAACATGCACTTTGCGCAAAAGTTGTAAATTTGAAAAATGTTATGAATATTCCACTAAAGTCCATCAATTATATTCGCAAAAACGGTATGAACCATCGAACATTCCGGAATTTCTTAAATGAAATTGACGCAGAATATGAAGATATCATTTATTTTTCTGAAATAAGATAGCGCAGCGGTGGGAAAGTTTAAAAAAGATTTTTCGAGTTGATAGACGAGATTGAAATGTTTTTGACAGAAAAAGGAAATAATATACCAGAATTATCAAATTTTAAATGGATAAGTGAGTTAGCTTTTATTGTGGGCATTACAACTTACCTCAATAAATTAAATATAACACTACAAGGCAAAGGAATCAACGAGCTATTTACAAAAATCAAAAGTTTTCAGCTTAAAATAAAATTGTTTATTTCTCAACTTGAAAAGAATAATTATTGTCATTTTCCTACTTTGCAATCGTTTTTAACCCAAAACGACAAATAGTGTCCTTCGAATATTTTTATTGAGTCACTAAAACTACTGGATGAAAATTTTCGTCATCGGTTTCAAGATTTTTATGCAAAAGAAATGGACATATTAATATTTGAAA